CCCACCCAACCGGCTAGCCGGACGGGCGAGAGAGGCTTTCGCCGGCCGCCCCCCCCCCCACGCCTCCCCCTCCTCGGCTCTGCTGGGAATAGCTGTTAAGGTGGTGCCAAAGGTATTCCCTCCTGTCTCTCCCCTGTGATCACCTGTTCCTCCTCTTCCTCTTGTTCCCACCAGAGATTACATCTACTACAACGATGCTTACACCTTTAACCTGGACACCTTCACCTGGGTCAAGCTGGCTCCTTCGGGGATGGCACCCTTGCCACGGTCCGGCTGCCAGTTGGCCACCACTCCTGAAGGCAGCGTCCTCATCTACGGAGGCTACTCCAAGCAGGTCGGCCGTTCTCCATTTTCCTTGCAAGGAATGGTTGTCTGCTAGGTGCTTAAGTAGCCGTTTCCGGTCCCTAGAGGACTGGTGCACTGGCTAAAAGAGACTTGTGAGTTTCCCTTCTTCACACAGGTCTTTTATGCAAATACCTGCATCACTTAAGGTTTTCTCTCATGCACCTGTGCAGGAAAGGTGGGTTATAAATGGAAAATAATAAATAAATAAATAATTCATTAGCTGTTGTAGATTTTCCGGGTTGTGTGGCCGTGGTCTTGACATTGTAGGACCTGACGTTTCGCCAGTAGCTGTGACTGGCATCCTCAGAGGTATAACACAGAAGGATGGAGTACTCTCTGTGTCAAGGTGAGAAGCAAAATGGTAGGCAGGTAATTTATATCTACTCAGGAAGGTGGGGTAGGGCTGAGTCGTTATCATGGAGGAGTTCCCGAGGCTGTGAAACATGCTAATGGAGGAGCTTTCCTGAGGAGGTTCTTTTGCATATGGATTGTCTCTTCAGGAGGTTTCCTGTTCCCTGAGGAGGTTCTTTGGCTGTTGAAATTCTAATCTTATCTGTAGTGCTATTGTCAGATGTAGAGCCTTTTGTGTTTTTCAGGACAGGAAACCATGCCCGGAAAATCTACAACAGCTAATGAACTCTGGCCATGAAAGCCGTCGACAACAAATAAGTAGTTCACACACGTAAATCAAGGATCTGCCTGATTTCAGACCACAAGAGCAGCCTGGAACGCCCCACCCAGGCTAACAACCTCCCTGCAAGCAGAAAGCTAGCAACAGGAAGCAAAGGAAGTGCTAGCTTTCTGCTTGCAGGGAGCTTTTGTATGCTTCAGAACGTTCAAAGCCTGCTTTTATATTGTCCTCACTATGCTGGTTTTATTAGGTGTTAACTTTTTTACTGCCGTGTTAATCTGCCGGTTTTATCGTCCGTTGCTTTTACGGCCGTCTTATCCTCGCTTGCTGATCTTACGGGTGACTTTTTTCTTTTAGACCTTCATACTTTGTATAAGCTGGACGGCATCTCACAAGCCATTGAGAAAGTGAAGGGTTTGCAGAGGGGCAATTTTTTTAAATAAAGATCCAGATCTGTTGGGGGTTTTTTGCCAGGATTTTCTTGCTTGGCTCCAGGGCTGTAAATACACCCTATTTCAGTCCTCCCAAGAATGAGGAAACCGCAGTCGAGGAGGCGCAAAACCCTCCTCTGTAGTGCCTGGAAGCAGAGCTCATTAGGAGCTAATTCACTGGATCCGCCAAGGGGAAAATCTTCTGGGGCCGGGCTGTTTGTCGCCGCGGCCTTCCCTTTTGCTTCATTAGCCGAGGTTCTGAAATGGATCCGCGGTCCTTTTCTTAATGGATAATGAGACAGTGATGGAGGTTGGAGCAAGGGCCTCATCTTGCGCCTTCCCAAGGGCTCTGGGTGGGTCTCCGTGGAAGCCAGCCCCAGGAACAGCGCTTGGCTGGAAGACAACAACTTGTTAGTGGTCGCCCGGCAAGATCCGTGGGGCTGAGCCAATGCTTGGGGTGTGCCCCACTCCATCGACACTCCGGTTTTCTGTTCCAGCGTGGACTTCTGCTAAGCCTGGTCCTGCCCGCAGGAAAAACGAAAGGGGGCTACAGCATGAAGTCGCCTGAGCTGGAAACGAGACTTTTGTGATCTCTACCCTGTGGATGGGAAATTCAGGACCGGAAGGGCAAGATTTCAGTCTAGGACAGGGCTGGCCAAACTTGCTTAACGTTAAGAGCCACATAGAATAAACGTTAGATATCTGAGAGCCACAAGACATGAACAAATATCACACACACGTTTTTATTTTAAAATATTGCAAATTTGCTTTTTACTAACATAAAATGAGACTGCCAAAAATAAAAACAAAAGGGGTAAAAACAGGTATTGATGATGAAATTTATTTGTCCCGTGATATTTATTTGATTGCTAATGGTATTTATTTGTCTAAGAGAGAGAGAGAGAGGTGGAAAGAAAGAATGAAAGAGGTTGAAAGAGAGAGAGAGAGTGGAACAAAGACAGCAAATGAAGAGAGGGGGAAGGAAGGAAGAGAGAGAGAGGAAGGAAGGTAGACAAAGATGGAAAGAAAGCAAATAGATGTGGGGGGGGAGGTGGAGGTGGAAAGAAAGCAACTTGTGTCCTCCAACACCCCCCTCAATGCCCCCATGCCGGCTGGCTTGGTTTGGAGAAGGGATTTAAAGAGACAAATGCTTTCTGGAATCCTGCTGGGGGTGGGGGAGGGCCTTTGAGAACACATTTAAAAGTAAAGTTGCTCTTTTTCTCTGCTCCCTCCCACCTCAAGCCTACCCAGGGAGGGGAACGCTGGCTAGGGAAGGGAAGACCGATCAGGGAGGCAGGCCTCCCCTTCTCTTCCCCAGCCGCCCTGCTGGGAGCCGCACGATATGTGTGAAAGAGCCACATGTGGCTCCCGAGGCACAGTTTGGCCACCCCTGGTCCAAGAGCTCCTTAGGGACCAGCAAGATTTCCACGTGACGGGCTTTTGAGAGCCATAGCTCCCTTCATTGGATACTTTGACTCCGAAAAGCTCATGCCCCCAGAATGCTTAAATTAAAAAGAAAAGAAAAGAAAGCTCATGCCCTGGAAATCTCTAGGGCAGTGATGGCGAACCTTTTAGAGGCCGAGTGCCCAAACTGCGACCCAAACCCCACTTATTGATCGCAAAGGGCCAACACGGCAATCTAACCTGCATACTGTGGTTTTACTTTAGAAAAAAACAACTCATACATTAACTTAAGAGGATCCAAACAAAGTAAGGGAAGCAATCCCAAATGCTTTCATTTACTTAAAATTATTTGGCAGAGAATTCGACGCTTTAATGATGGTCTGGGCCTGGCTGGGGCGATGGCACGCATGCCCACAGAGAGGGCTCTTGAGTGCCACCTCTGACACCCGTGCCATAGGTTCGCCACCACTGCTCTAGGGTGCTCCTGGATTCGAATCGAGCTCTTCTGCCGCAGACCGACACGGTTACTCTTTGCGGCCATCTTCTGTCTTCCAGGAGGGGAAGAGGCATTGATGTTCATCTCTTTGAGTCAGGGGCGGCCAAACTTGCTCAACTTAAGAGCCACACAGAATAAAAATCAGATGTCTGAGAGCCGCAAGACATGAACAGATATTACACCCACGTTATTATTTTAAAGTATACAAATTTGATTCTTATTAACATTAAATGAGACTGCCAAAAATAAAAGGGGTAAAAACAGATATTGATAATGATATTTAATTTGTCCAGTTATATTTATTGGTTTGCTATTGATTTGTCTAAGAGAGAGAGAAAGAGAGGTGGAAAGAAAGAATGAAAGAGGTGGAAAGAGGGAGTGTCACGACAGGGCCAGGGGGCGTGACGCAAGCGAGCAAAGTCCAGGAGCAGTCCGAGGTCAAGCTGAGTAAGACAAGCAGCACGGTTCAAACAGGTTTAAATCAGAGTCCAAAGCCAGGGTCAGACATACCAGAGTTCAGTGTCCATAAATCCCAACGATCAGAGACGAAAGCAGGGTCAACGAAGCCGAGGGTCAAAAGCCGAGGACCAAGCCGACAAGAGTTCCACGAAGTCTGGAGCAGAGATACACGGAGTAAGGTCCTGTCAAACGACGTTTGCCAGCACAAGTTCCTACCAGCAACAGGCTTGAAGATATACAGTGCCAGCACAAGTTCCTACCAGCAACAGGCTTGAAGATATACAGTGCTGGCTAATTAACTCATTAGCTGGCAGGCCTCCCCTTCACGTCCCCAGCTGCCCTGCCGGGAGCCTCATAATAGGTGTGAAAGAGCTGCGCCAAGCCACAGTTTGGCCACCCCTGTCTTTGAGGGAGGACCTTCCTCTTCTTGTCATCTGATACATGTGGCCGAGTGCTGTCTGTCCTGTTCTGTTTCTAGCTTGTCAGAGCAGTCCGTTAAAGGTGGGCGTCTTAAAAGCACCTTTCTGTGGCGGCCGCTCGGGTTCCGCAGGTGGACCATCGAGGCCGTTGTGGGTTTCATTTAGGCCCTTGCTGGGTTTGAGGGCTCTTCCTTTTGCAGTACAGATTTCAGGCATTTTGCTGCTCCGCTGACTGCCCCAAGCTTGGGGAGGGAAACGATTTGTAATCCTTTCTTCTCTCTCTCTCTCTCTCTCTCTCTCTCTCTCTCTCTCTCTCTCTCTCAAGCCCCCGGAGGGGATTTGTTATTATTTTTATAAGACTACACAACTACAACAGAAATGGGGAGGGGGGAACTACATATACAGGACAAAGACAAGAACCCACTACTATCTAAAAAACCCAAGAGAGGAGATCTTCATTCCGCTATCTTCTTCAAATCTTCACTTCGTTTATCTCTTTACAAACCGAGTCTGTCCTTTATACTACTTTTTTCTATTAATTTTTAACTCCAATAGCCAAGTACCCCCCAATCATCCCACTATAAAGTTCTTAAAGGCATAATTCAGAGTCCTTCCGCCTTCATTTCCCTCTTCCTTCTCTCTTTCTCAGCTTATAAGGACTTTTGGGGGGCTGCCGCCCCTTGCTCAGAAAGAGAGTCTTCTCCGGAAGAGCCTGAATCCAGCTCTCCTTTCTTCTCTTTCTCCTAGCGAATTAAAAAAGACGTGGACAAGGGCACCCTCCATGCGGACATGTTCCTGTTGAAGGCCGAAGGCTCAGGTGAGCAGCAGGTCCTGGGGCCACCGGGGACCTGCAAATGGGAACTTGGGACTGTGTCGTCGTGTTTCAGTTGTGGTGGCTTGGCTCACCTGTGAGAGGCAGCCTGAAAGGTCTTCTCTGCAGAGACCCCTTTGGTAGATGGGGTGATTGGGGGAGGTAGATGGAAGAAAGGTGTGGCTTTTGGTTTTGGGGGCGATGCTGGGACCGGATTTACTTCTCGCTCTGAACACATGAAGCCGCCTTATACCGAATCGGCCCATCAAAATCAGTCTTCTCTACTCTGACCGGCAGCCGCTCTCCAGGGTCCCAGGCAGAGGTCTTTCCCGTTACCTGCTGCCCAGATCCCTTTAACTGGACATACCGGGGATTGAACCCAGGACCTTCTGCATGCCAGGCAGACGCTCTGCCACTGTGCCATGGCCGTCAACAGGGGTCATTTCCTGCGGGAGCGCACTGGAGCAGAGCTCCGGCAGTAAGGAGCCCAGGGGGCGGGCACATGCAACAAGCCCCACCCTCTGCTCCCAGCAGCCCTCAGTTGGGCCACAAGGAGCAAGAAGCTACCAGGTAAGTTGCAGAGCCCCCCCCCCCCGGCCCGCCTTCAGGTACAAGCTCTCCCTCCTCTGTGAGGGCAGTTAGGTAATTTGCAGAGCCCTCTTGCCCAAAACAGTCCAGTTGCATCTTTAAGCCCAGTTTTTAGTCAGGTACAAGCCCCCCCTCCTCTGTGAGGACAGATCTGCATGCCCCCCCCCCGCCCCCCAATAGCTAGCAATCCAAAACAGTCCAGTGGCACCTTTGAGACCAAGTTTTATTCAGGTACAAGCTCTCCCTCCTCTGTGAGGGCAGATCTCCACGTTCGTCCCCCGCCCCCAAGCTGGCAATCCAAAACAGCCCAGTGGAGCCTGAGCGATGGGTGTTGCCTTCTGACACACTTCTGGTGATGTTAGGGGGTGTGGCATATGCAAATAAGTTATGCTAATGAGCTCCTGCACCTCTTTTTTCTACGAAATGACCCCTGGCCGTCAACAAAACGGTTGATTTTAAGAGGGAGGTGCTGTGGTTCCATGCCAGACCGTGGGCTTTACGTACCGAAGTTCCCTGTTTCAATTCTTGGTATTTCCAGTTTTTTTAAAAGCAATCGTTAGTAGCTCGTGCAAGGACATATCTTTCTCGACATGAGATCCTGGAGAGCTGTCAACCAATGTTCCCTCTAAGCTGTGGAGTCTTGTGTGCAAAAATTCTACTTTGTGAGTTACCGGCATTAAAGCTGTGAGCCAGCGATTTGGCTCCTGCATAAATTAGTTTGATCTGGAGCCCTCCTTCCTGAGCTAAGACAAAAATCTGTGAGCTGGAGGCTAAAAAACTGTGAGCTAGCTCACGCTAACTCAGCTTAGAGGGAACACTGCTGTCAACAACACTGAGGTAGGCAGACCAGCAGTCTGAGTCCATAGTGGAGAGCGTCATGTGTTGAAAAGCATTTTGGAAACGTCTTTCCTTAATACTGTTCATTCACAAAAAATACAAATTGCTCTTGAGGAACATCGTTGTGTAGCCTGTGACATGCTTCTTTGGAGGAGGAGGGGATAGCATGTCTTCAGCATAGATGCCGGGCCACATTAGCCTGGCATCCGGGGTTGAACTTGGGGATCTACAAAAATTGTTGGGGCTTAGAATTCAAATGTCTCCTTGAAGATAAAAATACGTGTTCTTTCCCACTGGCCATTCGCGCTTCCTCCTACCATACCCTCTCAGAAGAACATCAGAGAAGCCATCTTTGATCAGACCAATGGCTCATCCGATCCAACACTCTGTGTCAAAAACCCCAAATGCCATCAGGAGGTACACCAGTGAGGCCTGAACTCCAGAAGCCCTCCCACTCTTGCCCCCCAAGCACCAGGAATACAGAGCATCACTGCCCCAGGCATAAAACCATAAGAGAAGCCATGTTGGATCAGACCAATGGCCCATCCAGTCCAACACTCTGTGTCAAAAACCCCAAATGCCATCAGGAGGTACACCAGTGAGGCCTGAACTCCAGAAGCCCTCCCACTCTTGCCCCCCAAGCACCAGGAATACAGAGCATCACTGCCCCAGACATAAGACCATAAGAGAAGCCATGTTGGATCAGACCAATGGCCCATCCAGTCCAACACTCTGTGTCACACAGGGGCAAAAAACCAGGAGCCATCAGGAGGTCCACCAGTGAGGCCAGAACTCCAGAAGCCCTCCCACTCTTGCCCCCCCAAACACCAGGAATACAGAGCATCACTGCCCCAGACATAAGAACATTAGAGAAGCCATGTTGGATCAGGCCAGTGGCCCATCCAGCCCAGCACTCTGTGTCACACAGGGGCCAAAACCCAGATGCCATCAGGAGGTCCACCAGTGGGGGACCAGAACTCCAGAAGCCCTCCCACTCTTGCCCCCACCAAGCATCAAGAAGACAGAGCATCACTGCCCCAGACATAAGAACGTAAGAGAAGCCAGTGTTGGATCAGGCCAGTGGTCCCTCCAGCCCAACACTCTGTGTCCCACAGTGGCCAAAACCCAGGTGCCCTCAGGAGGTCCACCAGTGGAGGCCAGAACTCCAGAAGCCCTCCCACTGTAACCCCCCCCAAGCCCCAAGAAGACAGAGCATCACTGCCCCAGTCAGAGTGTTTCCTCTATACCTTGTGTCTAATAGCTACTGATGGACCTCTGCTCCACATGTGTATCCAATCCCCTCTTGAAGCCGTCCGTGCTTGTAGCTGCCACCACTTCCTGCAGCGGTGAATTCCACATGTTGATGACTCTTTCATTCCTCTTGCATTTCTCAGACAAATGGATGTGGAGTCGGCTTACCCCTTCTGGTGTGAAGCCTCCACCCCGGTCTGGCTTCTCGGTGGCTCTGGGCCCAAACAACAGGTCCCTTCTCTTCGGCGGCGTCCATGACGAGGAAGAGGAGGAGTGCCTGGAGGGCGATTTCTTCAACGATATGTATTTCTACGACCTGGTGAAGAACCGCTGGTTCCCTGGACAGCTGAAGGTCTGGGAAGTGGGCACGGTTAACACACACACACACACACCCCGGCCAAATTAGCCAGTCTCGTGCAAGCTCTTCACAGTAGCCCCCCACTTTAATGTAGAGATAGTTATGCTGGCCGGCTTTCAGGGGCGATGACACGATAATCTACGTGAATCCCCTCGAGCTTTTTAAAAGCAGAAGCGCTAAGTGCTGTTACTGTTGTGTCACTAATTGGTGTTATAGGTCGTGACATTTTGCTGGGGGGAAACGATACGTTTGGGGCTTACTCAGACAAAGGAGATAGCGAAAATTTTCAGCGTGATGGACAAGCGGGAAAAAAAACACAAACAGAAAACCATCTGGGAAATAGAAAGCTGTCCCAGAGGAAGACCGCTTCCTTCCTTTAATACATCTCAGCTCTCCAAAGAGTCTTGTAGAGAGAATAGAGGGATATTTGCTTGCAGGCCTGGGATGGTCTTTGTGGTATAGCCCTCCCGGGGGAGAATTGTGCTGAGGACTGCATTTTTGAATGTTCCCCTGCCCTGACCAAAGCTCTTTGCAAGTGGAAATCTAAGGCGTCGGGAAGAAGACTTCCTGTGTAAGCGCAGCATTCTTATTTTCTTCAGGCAGGGAGATTTTGTTTCCGTGGGGCAACAGTCAGATGTGGAGTTCTTAACTCGTGTTGAAAAGTAGTAGACTCATGATGCAGTTCTGACCCCCTCCACAGTGACAATGCTACACTATCCTCCAGGGCCGTATTAACCCACGTTCAGGCCCCTAGGCCTTCAGGTATTTTGAGTCCCCTCCAGCACTTCAATCTTTCACCCCTCTACAGCTGAAAGACTGATCCTAGTACAGTAGGCACTAGACCGCAGTACATAGCCTGATATCCATGTTGAAGGTCTCCTGAAGAATTCTATTCACCATTTTTTAATATATTTTCATTGCACGAGTAGAACTCTTCAGGAAATCACATTTTTGGGGGTATAATTGTTTAATATGGAGCTGCGGTGGCTCAAGTGGTTAAGACGCTGAACTGCAGGCTGTGGAAGGTCGGTAGTTCAGCAGTTCGAGACCCGAGTGTGCCGCATGATGGAGTGAGCTCCCGTCTCTAGTTCCAGCTCCTGCCAACCTAGCAGTTCGAAAGCAAGAAATTGCAAGTAGATAGATAGGTACCACTTTTGTGGGAAGGTAACAGCGTTCCATGCGCCTTGGTGTTTAGTCATGCTGGCCACATGACCACGGAAACGTCTTCGGACAGAGCTGGCTCTTCGGCTTGGAAACGGAGACGAGCACCGCAACCCTAGGGTCAGATTCGACTGGTTTTTGAGCAAGGGAACCTTTACCTTTACTTTACTAATTGTTTAATACTGTAATATTCTCAAGTGAATAACATTTTTATTATTTACTAAGAATATATAATTTATGGAGAAGTGTGTTAATATAAAAGACAATTTGTTTCACTGCAATAAGGAAGCAGTTTGTAGTGGTTAAGTGCGCGGACTCTAATCTGGGAGAACCAGGTTTGATTCCCCACTCCTCCACTTGCAGCTGCTGGATGACCTTGGGCAAGCCATAGTTCTGTCAGAGCTGTTCTCTCAAGGACAGTTCTGGAAAGAGTTCTCTCATCCCCACTTACCTCACAGGGTGTCTGTTGTGGGGAGGGAAAGGAGTTTGTAAGCCGCTCTGAGACTCCTTTGGCTAGTGAAGGGCGGGGTATAAATCCAGTCTCCTCCTTCTCCTCCTCCTCCTCCTCCTCCTTCATAGAGATTATATATCACAGGCTGTCTATGAAGAGAAAATAACAGTACCTGTGCAGAAAAATTAAAATTGCTGGGCCCCTAGTCCCTGCAGGGCCCCTAGGCTTCGGCCTAGTCAGCCTTACGCATAATACAGCCCTAACTTCCACAAGCATTCATTGTTGTTTCCAAACACTGGGCAAAGCTTTCGTGGCTCTTCTTTCTCAGTCCCTGATAAGGCAGAGCTTTTCAAGGGTTTTTTTCCCCCCTGTTGTGACCAGGGACGGAAGTGTGAGAAGAAGAAGAAAAGGCGAGGCCAGGGGACGGAGCCCTCTCCTGCAGCAGCTTTGCCCGAGGGATCTGGTGAAACCCCTCCTGGCCCTGTGGAGATCGTAAAGGAGGTGGTGGCAGAAGACGGGACCGTCATGACCATTAAGGAGACGATCTCGTCCCCCGTGGCGGAGCAGCAGAGCTCAGAATCGGAGGGGGAAGACGGGGATGCGACGGGAGACGAGGCCTCCGGCCCGCAGGTGGAGCCATGCCCACGTTCGAATGCCATGCTGGCGGTGAAGCACGGGGTGCTGTACGTCTACGGGGGGATGTTCGAGGTGGGAGACCGCCAGTTCACGCTGAACGACCTCTACGCCCTCGACCTCCACAAGATGGACGAATGGAAGGTCCTAGTAGAGATGGACCCCAGTAAGCAGCCTGTATTTCCTTTGTGGGTGGGAGGAAGGCCTTCCGGGCTGGACGGCAGAGCTTCGGAGCTCTGCTTGGCTTCTTTCCCTTCCCATGGGCAAGCGGAAGCGGGTTGATCGATGCAAACCAGCCTGGGATGCAGAATCACCGTGGCTGAATTGTTCTGCTTTTTAAATACAGATGTGATGTGAAGAGGGCAGATGTGAAGAGGGCAGAAAGACAAGATGTGCTCCAGGACGAATGTCTTTGCTGGAACAGCTCACGTTCTGGTGGCTGTTTTCATGGGGTGAAATTTGACCCCGTGTGACAGGCACCTAGGGTGTTGTTGCCGAGTGTGCTACCCAGGGCTATTTTTGGGCCGGAACGCACAGGAACGGAGTTCCGGCTGGCTCCTGAGCTGGCCACACCCAGCAGGAACTCATTAGCATAATAGGCCACACCCAACAGCAGAAACTCATTCGGATTGGCTACATCGGGGGTGTGGGGCCTAACATGCAAAGGAGTTCCTGCTCCAAAAAAAGGCCCTGGGTTTTGACCACAAACAAGGTCAACAGAATAAGAAGCAAAAGGTGGGCGTGGCTGGATGGCCACACTTCTGGTAACACGGGGGTGCGGCCTAATATGCTAATGAGCTGTGCTGTCAAGGGTGTGGCCTAATATGCTAATGAGTGTCTGCTGTTGGGTGTGGCCTATTATGCTAATGAGTTCCTGCTGGGCTTTTTCTACAAAAAAAAAGCCCTGGTGCTACCCAAAGATATTCTGGGGGGTTCGAAACTTCACCGGGTGCCAAGGCATGCCATCCTGCTTCCCCGCCTTACCCGTCGCCCCGAGGAACCACTTGTCAGCAGCTTTTTCTCTCTTTGGTAGAAGAAGTGTGCCTTGCACGCGGAAGCTTATACCCAGAATTAAACTTTGCTGGTCTCAAAGGTGCAGACTTTGTCCTACCTTTTGGCCAGGCATTTTCATCCTGTCTGAGTTCCTGCCGAGGGCAGAATTGCCCGCGGGCTTTCTTTCCTGTGCTGTTGCATGGATAGGGATGCCGCCGGCCTGTATTTGAAGCGCTCCTGGCCATGGTCTGGCCCAGGGGTCCCCAGACTTTTTGAGCCTGCAGGCCCCTCTGGAATTCCGACGCAGCGTGGTGGGCACAGCCTCAAAATGGCTGTTCTAAAGTGCCTGCTTCGGGAGGCGGAGCTGGCCATAAAATGGCTGCCACAGCTTACCTACAATCGCCAAGTGGAGATCCTTGTGCTGTGGTGGCAGTGGCTGCCAAAACAACACTTAAAAAAAAAATCTGCACAGCCAATCAGAAGCCTTACTGGGGAAAAGCCCCGCTCAGCCCCACCCACTTTCTACAAGCACATGGCAGCTGCCAAGAAAAGTGTCGGTGGCTTCCCTTCTACAGGCCTGATTGTCTGTCCAGGCGGTTCTGGATTTGTCAACTGAAAGAGAATGAGGCTCCTGAACGTTCAAAGTCCTTGCCCTAGAAAACCTGGCAAGTAGGAACCTTTCTTACCTGTCGCTAAGTTTGTGTCCCCTTTTTAAATGTTTTTCCCCCCCTCGATGGTTGTGGCAGAAACACAAGAGTGGCTTGAGGAATCGGAGTCTGACGAGGGAGACGATGCGCAGGGTGCTGAGGGAGGAGAGGAGGAGGAAGACAGCAGCTCGGAGGAGGAGGGGAGTGACGAGGAAGACGAAGGTGAGGGGCGCACGGCGAGGCTGGGAATAGGGTCTGTGACTTTGGGCAGACTGGGAAGGCATGGGGTGTGTGGGTCTGGACCAGCATTCTCGGCAAACATTAAGCACATTTGGGACGAAGCATTCAAATTTAATGCCTTTGCTTTTGAATAGTTGTGCTCTCTCGGCTTTGTTTTATTGCTTTAGCTGTAAGAAGAAGAGGAGACTGGATTGATACCCTGCCCTTCACTACCCGAAGGAGTCTCAGAGCGGCTCACAAACTCCTTTCCCTCCCCCTCCCCACAACAGACACCCTGTGAGGTAGGCGGGGCTGAGAGAGCTCTTGACAGAAACTGCTCTTTTTCAAGGACAGCTCTGACAGAACTACAGCTTGCCCAAGGTCATCCAGCAGCTGCAAGTGGAGGAGCGGGGAATCAAACCCGGTTCTCCCAGATTAGAGTCCGCGCACTTAACCACTACACCAAACTGACTCTCGCCATCTGGTGCAGGCCTCTGGAAAGACACCATGTAACTCTTCCAAATAAGTAAAATAAATCCCACTTCCAAAAGCCAGCATGGACTCTAATCAAAGTGCGGTGGACTCCAGTCTGGAGAACCAGGTTTGATTCTCTGCTCCTCCTCCACACGAAGCCTGTGAGGTGACCCTGGGCCAGTCACCGTTCTCTTGGTGACTGTTGTGGGGAGAGGAAGGGAAGGCGACGAAGCCATTTTGAGACTCCTTAGGGTAGAGAATAAAGGTACAGATAAAGGTTCCCTTGCTCGAAAGCCAGTCAAGTCCGACTCTAGGGTTGTGGTGCTCATCTCCGTTTCAAAGCCGAAGAGCCAGCGCTGTCCGAAGACGTTTCCGTGGTCATGTGGCTGGCATGACTAAACACCAACCTTCCCACTGAAGTGGTACCTATTGATCTACTTGCAATTTCTTGCTTTCAAACTGTTAGGTTGGCAGGAGCTGGGGCCAGAGACGGGAGCTCACTCCATCACGTGGCACTTGGGTCTCAAACCACCGAGCTACCAACCTTCCAGTCTGCAGCTAAGTGTCTTAACCTCTGAGCCACCGTGGCTCCATCCTTCAAGGTAAAGGTAAAGGTTCCCTTGCTCGAAAGCCAGTCGAATTCGACTCTAGGGTTGAACTCCATTTCAAAGCCGAAGAGCCAGCGCTGTCCGAAGATGTTTCCGTGGCCATGTGGCCAGCATGACTAAACACCAAGGCACACGGAACGCTGTTACCTTCCCACCGAAGTAGTCCCTATTTATCTACTTGCAATGTCTTGCTTTCAAACGGCTCGGTTGGCAGGAGCTGGAACTAGAGACGGGAGCTCACTCCGTCATGCGGCACACCCGGGTCTCGAACTGCTGAACTACCGACCTTCCACAGCCTGCAGTTCAGCGTCTTAACCACTTGAGCCACCGCAGCTCCTAGGGAAGAGAAAAGCAGGGTGCAAAAGCCCACCCTCCTTCTTCAGCTGCCCAGCAATCTCCTGCTTTCCCAAACTGCTCTCCCTTCCCGGCTCCTTCTGTCTGGAGCCCCACCCAGGAAGCCTGCCTGACGCCAGCTCCCTCACTTCCTTCCGATCCCTTCCCAAAGTCCACCATTTTGGTGAAGACCTCTGGCACTGCCTCAGTCCCTCCTGAAACGAAGCCTTAATGTGTCAAATTGGGATTAACGCACGCTCTTTCACAAAAGCTTATACCTTGAATAAAACTTCGTTGGTCTTAAAGGAGCCCACGGGACTCGAACTTTATTCTCCTCCTCCTCCTCCTCCCTGTTCTCCTCCTTTTCTCAGTTTTTGGATTCGAAGCTCCTCGCCAGGAAGCTGTCTTTCTGTACTTGGCAAAGCACGGGGCCATGGCACAGCGGTAGAGTATCTTGCTGCCATGCAGAAGGTCCCAGGTTCAATCCCCGGCATCTCCAGTTAAAAAGAACCAGGCAGGAGACCTACGCCTGAGACCCTGGAGAGCGGCTGCCAGCCTGAGTAGACAAGACTGACCTTGATGGACCCAGGGTCTGGTTCAGTATAAAGCAGCTTCATGTATGTTGGGAGGAGCTGTGGCTCAGTGGCAGAGCCTCTGTTTGGCATGCAGACGGTCCCAGGTTCAATCCCCGGCATCTCCAGTTAAAGAGGACCAGGCAGGAGGTGACGGGAAAGACCTTTCTCTGCCTGAGACCCTGGAGAGCCGTAAAGAGGGGCTGTGGCTCAGCGGTAGAGCCTCTGCTTGGCATGCAGAAGGTCCCAGGTTCAATCCCCGCCATCTCCAGTTAAAGAGGACCAGGCAGGAGGTGATGGGAAAGACTTCTGCCTGAGAACCTGGAGAGCCGTAAAGAGGGGCTGTGGCTCAGTGGCAGAGCATCTGCTTGGCATGCAGATGGTCCCAGGTTCAATCCCCAGTGGCATCTCCAGTTAAAGAGGACCAGGCAGGAGGTGACGGGAAAGACCTTTCTCTGCCTGAGACCCTGGAGAGCCGCTGCCAGTCTGCGTCGATGCTTCTGACCTCGGTGGACTGATGGTCTGTTGCAGTGTAAGGCAGCGCCCTGTGTTCTTGTGATGGCATCTTGTCAGTACTAATGTTGACATCCGATAGCTTGGAGTTGATGAGGTTAATTGACTTGGCCAAGACCTCCGACGGGAATCAGTGCCCAGAGTTTCAATGCGGTGGTCATTTTTCGAGGGAGGCTTCCCTTGTGTAGTGGTGTGAGAAGGAAAGTTTGGGGCTCAGGATTGGAGGGTTTTTTTGGGGGGTGTCGGTCTCTACTGGGGCACAAATCAGAACTCTGATTCAGTGAACGTACTTTCCCAGCTCCGGGGCCCAGCATCTGCTATTGATTGTATACGAGGCAACAAGAGATGCGTTCTCCTATGCAGAAGTTGCATATATATATCCCCGCTGCCAGCTGTCGCGCTATTAATTATTTTTATTGTTGCATTATAATTATGTTGCCTTGAACTACAAAGAAAGGCCAAGTATAGATATTTTGATAAATTATAATAATGCAGAAGGGCTGGGTAGAACTCGTGCAAGGCGCCGTCCTGCCAAGGTCGGGCACTGGTGGAAGAGGAACTTAGTGTCTCTGCCAGTTTGGTGTAGTGGTTAGAAGCACGGACTCTTTATCTGGGTTAGAAGCACGGACTCTTTATCTGATTCCCCAATCCAGCTGGTGGTGTGACCTTGGGCCAGTCACAAGTTCTCTCAGAGCTGTTCTCTCACAAGCAGTCCTCAAAAGAGCTCTCTCAGCCCCGCCTACCTCACAGGGTGTTTGTTGGGAGGGGAAGGGAAAGGAGTTTGTAAGTCACTCTGAGACTCCTTTGGGTAGTGAAGGGTGGGGCATAAACCCAATCTCTTCTTCTGCCTGACCACCTGCTTTTTCTCTCTTTTTGTCCCCCGCTACAGAAGAGGAGGAGCACCCAGCCCTCCAGCTTGACGAGAAGTATGAAGATTATCTCTCCAGGACGGAGCAATACTGGGTGAAACTGGCCCGCCGCCACCTGGGCCCCGATGCCAAAGAGAAGAAGGTGGTGAAGGTGGGCCGTGCGATGGCAAAGACCTTCTATGAAGAGTCTGCCTAGAGGAGGACTTCCTGCCCAAACAAGAACAGCGGGAAGGGGGCACATGCTCAGCTCCGGGCATGCGGCCGGGACCCACGGCCAGCACTGTGCATTCGTTCCCCTTCCATGCACCGGAGGACAGAAATGCCTTTTTCTTTGTGCCGGTCTTTGCGTGCCCGATACCACCAGCAAGTCATTGGTTGGGGGGGCCTCTGAAGTGCACGGGTACAGTTCCAGAGCTGGTTTTCCCGAGTGGCAAAACTGGATGGTAAAAGTGTCTTTTCCCTAGACTGTTGTCAAGGAGCATTGTGCGTTCGAATGCTTCTTTCTGCGTGTGTGTGTGGGGGGTGGCTCTTTGCACACAGGAAACTAGTTTGCTAACGGCCTCCATACGGGAGCGTCAAGTCTGCGACTGCTACATCTGGGGGGCTTCCTATGCTTCAATACACACACACACACACCCGGGCTGGGATTTCTCAGGACAATGGGCAAGTATGTGTGTGGACAGGGGCAGAGATGTGGAAGACAATTTGGCCGGTGACTTTGGGGGAGCAGACCTTAAAGCCTGGTGATTCTAGTGGGAAGTCATTCGGAGCTCCCAGGTTTTAAACGTGTGAGGTCTTCCGGTCCCTCCTACTCCATCAGCCCAGGATACAAAGGATTTTATAAATAAAATTCCTTGCCTTCATTAGGTTGCTCTGTCTTTCTTTCTCTCAGTGAACTTTCTCTTTAGTGCTCCGGGGTGCAGGGGGGGTGGGAGGCGTTTGAGGCAGCAGGCGGTGGGCTCCCTTCTGCCTGGGCGTCTGGGTCAGAACTCGAAGGGCCAGTTGAAAGCCTGGCTCTAGCATGTTGCTCCCTGTGCCAATCTCGCGGTCCAGGCGTGACACCAAACCACTTCATTTCAGATTGTGGGAGGGAACCTAGCGTGTTTGGTGAGCCAGTTTGGTGTAGGGGTTAGGAGCGCGGACTCTAATCTAGGAGAACCGGGTTTGATTCCCCACTCCTCCACATGCAGCAGCTGGTGTGACCTTGGGTCAGTCACAAGTTCTTTCAGAGCCGTTCTCTCACAAGCAGTTCCTGAAAGAGCTCTGAATAAACTCTCTCTGCCTCTGTTCATCGCCCCTCCCTCCAGTTTGGTGTAGGGGTTAGGAGCGCGGACTCTAATCTGGGAGAACCGGGTTTGATTCCCCACTCCTCCACATGCAGCTGCTGGTGTGACCTTGGGTCAGTCATAACTTCTTTCAGAGCTGTTCTCTCAAGGGCAGTCCTCGAGAGAGCTCTCTCAGCCCTGCCTACCTCGCAGGGTTTCTGTTGTGGGGAAGGGAAGGAGATGGTAAGCCACTCTGAGACTCCTTCGGGTAGTGAAGGGTGGGGTATAAATCCAACCTCTTATTTGACACTGGAACAGTCTCCCTTGAGGGGTGGTGGGTTCTTCATCATTGGGGGGAGTTCTCTACTCGTTGTGGGTATTATAGTTCCTGTGTTGGCAGGGGGTTGGTCTAGATGACCCTTCCAACTCTGAGATTAAATAAGTAAAATCGTTGAGCTTCGCAGCCGTGGTCAAAGACCCAGAGATGAGGAAGCCCAGGGGAAGGAGTTGGCATCAGTTGTTTTTAGCACAGGCATGTTTGAAGACCCCCCACTCCTCCCAAAAAGTTCTCTCTTCTCTTTTCCTGGCCCGGCCCTCCCGACAGTGCGTCCCCCAACTCTCTGTGCACGCTTGCACGCGGAGCCGCTCTCTCCATTGGTGAGATCGTAACTCTGGCACCTACTTCACAGGGTTGTTGTGAGGATTATTAAAACGGAGGAAATGAGAACACTGTAAGCCACATGCAGCCAGCTGGTGTGATCTTGGGTCAGTCACAAGTTCTCTCTGAGCTGTTCGCTCAAAGAGCAGTCTTCAAAAGAGCTCTTCGCTCATATGACTTCCTGTAACGAAAGACAGGGTGGTGTTGTGGTTAAGCTGTCGGACAGTGATCTGGAAGACCCAGGTTCAAATCCCCATTCTGCCATGGAGGCCTGCTGGGTGATCTTGGGCCAGCCACAGCCTCTCGACCTCACCTACTTCACAGGGTTGTTGTGAGGATTATGAAAATAGAGGAAATGAGAACACCGTAGGCCACATGCGGCCCGCTGGTGTGACCTTGGGTCAGTCACAAGTTCTCTCAGCTGTTCTCTCAAGGGCAGTTTCTGTCAGAGCTCTCTCAGCCCCACCCACCCTACCTCCCAGGGTGTCTGTTGTGGGGAGGGGAGGGGAAAGGAGTTTGTAAACCACTGTGAGACTTCCAAGTGAAAGGCAAGGTATAAATCCAATCTCTTCTTCTTGGAGAGAAAGGTTGGGCATAAAGTAAATAAATAAATATGCTTTAAAGGTGAGTCACGGATCCAGAGAGGCTAAAGAGTAGCGCTGCAATCCACCCTCCCCCACCACTAGTATGTCTACTAGTAGGTATGAAAACTAGGAGGAAATGAAGCTGGCCTCTAAAAAAAGGCTTTTTCAGACAAGATCATGGAAAGTGTCAATGGGGAGTAGCGAACCACAGACTTGATCATGAATTGTTTAAGGAAGAAGAAGAGTTTAAAGAAGAAGAAGAGACCTCACCCTTCACTACCGGGAGTCTCAGAGCGGCTTACAGTCTCCTTTCCCTTCCCCTCCCCACAACAGACACCCTGGGAGGTAGGTGGGGCTGAGAGAGCTCTCTTGAGGACTGCTCCTGAGAGAACAGCTCTGAAAGAATTTATGGCTGACCCAAGGTCACGCCAGCTGGCTGCATGTGGAGGAGTGGGGAATCAAACCCGGTTCTCCCAGATTAGAGTCTGGGGCTCCTAACCACTACACCATGGTGGAGGAAGGAGGGATGAACAAAGGCAGAGAGGGTTTATTCAGCTCACATCAGAGAACTGATAAGTTCCTTAGTTTCTGATCAACGTGAAGGTTTTTATACCCCGCTTTTCTTTAAGGCATCTCAGAGCAGCTTACGAATGCAATCCCTTCCCCTCCCCACAACAGTCACCTTGTGAGCAGTGTGCCCTCTGAGTTAATGTGAACTAGCTCACCGTTTTTTTAGCCTCCAGCTCACAGATTTTTGTCTTCGCTCAGGAAGGAGGGCTCCAGAGCGAGCTAATTTATGCCGCGGCCAAATCGCTGGCTCGCAACCTTAACGCCGGCAGCTCACAAAGTAGAATTTTTGCTCACAAGACTCCACAGCTTAGAGGGAACATTGCTTGTGAGGTAGGTGGGGCTGCGAGAGCTCTGAGAGAACTGTGACTGGCCCACGGTCTCCCAGCTGGCTTCATGTAGAGGAGGAGTGGGGAATCAAACCTGGTTCTCGAGATTAGAACCCACTTCTCTTACCAGTGCACCACGCTGGCTACATCCGCTGGGGGAACCATATCCAACAGCCTCTTAAAGAGAGTCAGGCAATGCTAGCGGTTATGTATGCCCCCCACCTGTGGAGAACCAAATGCTAGTGTGCAAATACTTCCCCCCTCTGTGTTGGTGCCACTTCAGGTCAGGGTTTCGAGGGTGCAGGCACACAATCAGAGTGCAATGGGCTCTTACCCACTTCCTCCTCCACCCCTAACTACAGGGTAGGAAACCAGGTGTCTGATACGAGCCTTGAAGAAGAGGCAGGGCAGACTTCGCATTGATATCTTGGGGCAGCTTGAAAAGGCTATGTGACCGAGATTAGTTTTATTGGTGAATGCCAAGCGTTTTTTGTGCTTGGCTATATGTAAATATTAAGAACATCAGAAGAGAGCCCTGCTGGATCAGACCAGTGGCCCCTCTAGTCCAGCCTCCTGACTCACACAGTGGCCAACCAGTTCCTCTGGAGGGCCAACAACAGGACAGAGAGGCCAAGGCCTTCATAAGAACATCAGAAGAGAGCCCTGCTGGATCAGACCAGTGGCCCCTCTAGTCCAGCCTCCTGACTCACACAGTGGCCAACCAGTTCCTCTGGAGGGCCAACAACAGGACAGAGAGGCCAAGGCCTTCATAAGAACATCAGAAGAGAGCCCTGCTGGATCAGACCAGTGGCCCCTCTAGTCCAGCCTCCTGACTCACACAGTGGCCAACCAGTTCCTCTGGAGGGCCAACAACAGGACAGAGAGGCCAAGGCCTTCATAAGAACATCAGAAGAGAGCCCTGCTGGATCAGACCAGTGGCCCCTCTAGTCCAGCCTCCTGACTCACACAGTGGCCAACCAGTTCCTCTGGAGGGCCAACAACAGGACAGAGAGGCCAAGGCCTTCATAAGAACATCAGAAGAGAGCCCTGCTGGATCAGACCAGTGGCCCCTCTAGTCCAGCCTCCTGACTCACACAGTGGCCAACCAGTTCCTCTGGAGGGCCAACAACAGGACAGAGAGGCCAAGGCCTTCATAAGAACATCAGAAGAGAGCCCTGCTGGATCAGACCAGTGGCCCCTCTAGTCCAGCCTCCTGACTCACACAGTGGCCAACCAGTTCCTCTGGAGGGCCAACAACAGGACAGAGAGGCCAAGGCCTTCATAAGAACATCAGAAGAGAGCCCTGCTGGATCAGACCAGTGGCCCCTCTAGTCCAGCCTCCTGACTCACACAGTGGCCAACCAGTTCCTCTGGAGGGCCAACAACAGGACAGAGAGGCCAAGGCCTTCATAAGAACATCAGAAGAGAGCCCTGCTGGATCAGACCAGTGGCCCCTCTAGTCCAGCCTCCTGACTCACACAGTGGCCAACCAGTTCCTCTGGAGTTCCAACAACAGGGCACAGAGGCTGAGGCCTTCATAAAAACATCAGAAGAGCCCTGCTGGATCAGAGCAGTGGTCCATCTAGTCCAGCATCCCATCTCACACAGTGGCCAATCCTCTGGAGGGTCAGCAACAGGGCCTAGAGGCCGAGGCCTTCCCTTGATGCTGCCTCCGGGCTCTGGGATTCAGAGGTTTTGTGCCTCTGAATGTGGAGGTTCCCCTCAGCCACCGTGGCTAGTCACCACTGATAGACTTGTCCTCCATTAATCCATCTAAGCACCTTCTCAAGCTGTTTATTCCTGTGCCCATCACTACATCCTCTCGCAGCAAATTCCACATTTTAATCACTCTCTATTGCCCTATGTTTTGCACATAAATATATATTTACTTTATTTACACCCTGTGTTTCTCCCCGGTGGGAACCTAAACGGCTCACGTTATCTTCTTCTTCATTTTGTTTGCCACAACAGCCCTGTGAGGTAGGCTAGGCTGAGAGCATGTGACCGGCCCAAGGTCACCCAGCGAGCTTCCATGGCAGAGTGAGGATTCGAACCCGGATCTCTCAGATCCTGGCCTGAGACACTGACCAGTACGCCATGCCGGCTCTCTGGTTATCCCAAATAACTGGCAAGGCAGTAAATGCACGGTTGGAGGAGTTCACAAAAGGAACATTCTCTCTGTTATACACTCTCAGTATTCCTAACCCATAGAAAAGTAGCTTCTCAGGCCACAGCAGACTGGAACTCTTCTCCCTGACATGCTGGTTTTATGCAGGCAGAGATTTATTTATGATGCCGCCCTCATGTGCCTGCTCCTGCAGTCTGAAGTCGTACTATCCAGACTCCTGTTTCCTACCAGGAATCTCTGTGTCTGCTTTGGGATGCACTTTTTAAGAGTGTAAAAACGTTTCTCTAGAA